TGTATTTAATTGCATCAGTTAGATGATAATCAATGAATAGTATGCTATACTAATAATATAATCAAATTAATTAACTCATGTCATTCAACAGAACATTTTAAAGTTCGGGTCAACCTGAGATCCGACCTGATCTGAACAGTTTTGGGTCAGGTCAGATCAGGTCTCAGGTTGACCAGGTCAGGTTCATTCCTAACCCGAACCAAAATTTTCGGGTCAGGTCAGATTGACCTCAGACCCGACCTGATCTGACCCGAACAGAGCTTTATCTAAGATAATAACAAAAAAGAAAGCTAGTAAATAAAAAAAGATAAGAAAGTAAAAAGAAAGAAAAAAATAGAAATAATAAACAGTAAGTTAAATAAAGAAATATATATATATATAGTACTTGTTATAAATATTGAAAATTAAAATTGACACAAATTATATATAAAAAAACTTGATTGTATCTAATACATATGACTGTATTTTAATAATAGTTTGTTTATCCAATTATTAACAATGAAAGACTATATTTTTGAAAATATAATGCTTGTAATGTGCTAACTATAGCAAAAAAAAGTAATATCACTCTTTTTATATCATCTAGTTAAAAAAACAATAAATTTCCATTCATTTTTCATTTAGAATACTTCATAATTTTAGCTTCTTAAGATTATCAAGTATTAGAAAGAGCAATTATAAATAATAGAAATCTTATCTATAATAAAATTATTACAAAGCTTAGTTTCAGTATTAAAATATCTATATAAATAGTAAAGTATGAACTTAATAAACTTAGATATTATTTAAAGTATTCAAAAAACTATATTTTTACTTTTCAAAAAAAATATCTAGCTCAAGCAGAATAAATAAAAATATAGTATTTTTGGATAAAATCATATTTCAAATATTTTGAAATATTTTAAGTATATTATACAAGTATTTTATAAAAAGTAATTTCAAAACATCCAAGAAAATTCACATTTGAAAAGTTTTTTTTGTGTGAAAAATAATTAATTTTTATATATAAACAAATCTTTTTAAATATATCCTCTTGGAATCATAATAAAGCATGTATTTAGAGAGAATATATATTTATAGAGAGCAAAATATAAAGAGTTCTTATGAGCTTGAATCCAATTATATTATGTATTTAGAGAGGATATGTATTTATAGAAGGTATATTTAGAAATATTTATTTAAAATATGAATCAAATATTTTATTATGAAATTTAATTAATAATCTTTTTGAAAATATATAAAAAGATATTAACAAATATTAAATCTTTAACAAAATAATAATTTGAAGTACTAAACCAAAAAAATATAAGAATTTATCTATTATCAAGTTTTAAAACTTTTTAATTGGTCATTATATAGTATTAATTTAAATTCAATAAAAATTATTATTAGTAAAAAATGAAAAAATGAATTAATAAAATAATTTAAAAAGAAAAAATAATTAATAAATAATTGAAAATAATAGAAAAAACTGATCATTAATATATATATATATTTATAAAGAACTATTAAATTTATACAGTTAAACCTCAATAAACCAGTCATTAATAAATTGATCAACTTGATAAATTAGCCAATTTTTGTGAAACTGATTCACTTTTATTTAATTTAATTTGATAAATTGGTGAGTATTATATAAACTATCTAAACTGTAAACTGACTAAATCTGTGGAATGCTCTATATATAAATTTATTTTGTTAAACTGATTCCTTTTATAAACTGATTCAATATTTTGATAATTCAGCCAGGATTAGAATTAAAAAATTATAAATTGGTTTCTATTTCAATAAATCAGTCAAGTCTGAATTTGATGTGATGCTTTTTTCACATATTTATCAAATGCTATGTTCTCTCACACACTCTGACTATTTTTTATATTTTTCTTGAAATATCACATTTTATAATAAATGATCTACATACTCTGATTACTATTCATATGAGTTTTTTTATTAATATTTATTCATTTTGCTTATACTGAAGTTATTTTGAGTTTTAATGAAGTCAGTTTCACGTGATGCAGGTTTCTCCAGCATAACAATATATACTTTATATAACAAAGACTCTTCTACTACAATAGCACATGCTTTATATAATGAAGACTTCTTAAATACAATGACATATATTTCGTATAATGAAGATACCTTTAATATAGCAACATCAATACTAGCATCAGCACTAGTACCAGCACTGATAATGAAAATAGAAATAAAAATATCAATGACAATGGCAACAGTAATGGTAATGGCAATACTGGCATCAACATCAACAATGGAAATAGTTATAGCTATAATTTATACATTATATAATTAGATCAATAAGTGCAGACAAAAATCTAAAGATAAAAATCACAAACAAAATGATATCAATAAAAGAGTAAAGATTATTCTTCATAATTTTCAACAAGCAGAACTTTGTGAAATGAAAAAAAACCAACCAACACTTACTAATATTGAACTTGACGAACAATTTGATATAGGAGCTTCAACAGTTTCTAATATTTTAAAAAAGAAGGATTATTATCTCAATTTTGATTGAAACTCAGCAATAGCTAAAAGTCAAAGAGATCATTTATCAAAGTGTTCTCAAGTTAAAACTGCTCTAGCTCTTTGGTTAGATAATTGTATTAGAGCCAATTTACACATAAATGGAGAGCTTCTTATTCACAAGGCTCACAATTTTGCTAAGTTAAAAAATATAGATAAAAATTTTTTACCTGTTGATTATTACTGGAATAATTATATATAAATGCAAAAGTTTGTATTTAATTATTAATTGAAAAAACTCGGTGCAGAAATGAGATGCAACAATCGAAAAATTCTTTTACTTTTGAACAATATGACATTATATTCTCTTGAAAAAGATTCAGTGTTAACCAATATAACTCTTTATTTTTTTTCTCCTAACATTACTATATATTTATAATCTTGTGATATAGTAATTATTTATTCTTTAAGGTAATTATTTTTTATTATGTTGTATTATATATAGTAATAATTTCTTATTATAAGGATCAATATCAAAAGCTTTTTTGTGAAAAATACCTTGACACATACAAAATAACTTTGTTAACCAATCAACTTGTTACATTATTTAATATTCTTGATACTATTTATGTGTTGTTCGAGCATGATCTAAAGTCATACAAACTATGATTACATCATGTTGGCACAAATATTAAATTCTTTCTCCAACCATGACAAATCAAGATCAACTATTGGAACTTTTCAATACTTAAATACTGAACAAGAAGTGACAATACAAGAATTAATTGATATGTTTCCATTTGAAGATTCTCTTATGCTATGTGAATTTATTAATATTAATGCTTCTTTAATAACTAATGAACTAATGACTAATGAGATAATAGTTGAAGCTATTCATGAATCTGTTGAAAAAGAAGAAGAATTTGAGATAATTATACCAGTTACTAATACAACTGCTGTTGAGTCATTAAACAAAATTATTCAATTTATAATACAACTATATACTAATTCTAATTCTGATTTGTGTATTAATGACTCAATAGTAAATACACTTCAAAATCTAAGAAAAAAATTCTTCAAGATAGTATCAATACAAAAAAATAAACTTCTTTAACTTCATTTTTTACAAATTAAAAATTTTATTTTATATAACGTAATATAGTATATAATAAAATAAAATTGAATTATATATAAAAAATTAATATTATATAAAACTTTTTAAACTGGCTATATCTTAGTCTATATAATATAGCCAGTTTATAAAATTATTTATTAATCTGATTTACTCAATAAATCAGCTACAAAAGGTCAACCTGAGATGACTGGTTATTGAGATTTAACTGTAATAAATAAGATTTATTCAGTTTATTATATTATTATTTTAGCTTTTTATTTAAAAGAAAAAGGTAAAGAATATATAAATTATATTAATAATAATTTTACTAATAATAAAGCATTTAATTTGGAATGATATATTATTTAGGAGAACAATATATATGCTATACATCTTGAAATTCATAAATAATTATAATATATTGATAAATAAGTAAAATAAATATATATATATATATATATATATATAAATAAGTTATAAAATTAATAAATAGATATATAGATTATGTATTATTAATTTGATACATTTTTTTTGAACTATTTATAATAATTTATAATATTAAGTGAGTTTTGTAATACATATATCATCAGATAGTAGAAATACTTTAGTCATTTTCTTTATATATGTAAGAATATTTTCTTATGTAAAAAGTATTAAGATAAATTTATTAATTGTTATAAATAAATTATATTAATTGAGATAATTTTCAGTTTTAATTTTAATAAAGCTTATTCTTTATTTATTAAATAGTAAAAAGATCTAAAGAGCT